TAAAGTAAGATGGTACATTAATTTATGACTTTATTATATTATTATAAATGTAGAAATATATAATGAACAATTAAAAATATGTAAACTTTGTAATTTTTAAAAGTGAATAAAATGAAAAGACTAGGATCAGAATTTGTGAGAAAAATCAACACTCTTTTGTTCTAAAATGGGGCCCCACTTTAATTATCAAACCACAAGATCTCAAGAATAATTTGACTAACTACAGTGACAATAATGTGAACTTCCTTCTCTTTAGACTTTAGTGGCTAGCCTTCTTTCTAGTTCACTTTCAATATTGGTTGGCTTCCCCCATTACAAATCATCCACTACGTGCGCCTCCACCTACCCTTCGCTGTTCCTACCTGTTAGATTCTAACACGTGGCCTTTTAATCACATTAATGGTTGATCTATGTATATTTATTTAGTTAAGAAATTACAAATTTTAATTGTAAATAAATTCCCGAAAAAGGAAAAATATGCGTCTAATTTTTCATTTAAATAAATAATCTCAAAAAATGTATTACTAGTTAGCAAATATTACGTAATAAATTAAGTTTGATTAATGATATATTTAAAAATTTTCGTGTTAAAATTTAATATGATGTATTAAAATAAAATAAAATAAAAAATTAATACGACGTAGGATTAAGTAGTGGGTACGCCCGTACTCGATTACTGATTTTTTTTTTTTTTTTTTTTTTTTGGGGTAAACATAAAACAGGACAAGGTGATTTTTTACCTTACCCGCCGGTCTCTCGTCCTGCTCAGTCTCCTCTTGCCATTTTCCCTTTGTCATCATTCCCTCGAGACTCGACTCGAGAAGTGAGAGAGCAAATACTTTTGGATTTTGATTAATGGCGATGACTTAGACTACGCTCCAGATCCTATCTCTCTTTCATACCGCCAGCTCTCTTTCTCTCCTTCTTCCCCTCTTTGTGTATATATGTGGATGTTTATTATATGTATTCTCTCTCTCTCTCTCTCTCTCGTTTATGCGTGCTTGATAGATGCGGGAACTTGAGAATCTGAAACAAAGACGATTCCATTTTTAAGCACCTGAATCGGCTCTACTTTTTTTTCTTTGAACAATTTGGCTTTGGGCTCTTATCGTTTGCATGGAGTATTGGAGAATTTCAGCAGATGAGTCGTCTTCCAGGTCTGATTACGCTCAGGTTGCTCTCGTTGATTTGAAGAGGAAGGGTTCTCGTTAGTTTCCGGTTTTATGCAATCTTTTTCAATTCTGGTTATTATCGATGTTTTCTCTGCGGTTATGGATTCATAGTTTTTGTATATGGTGAAGTGAGCTGTCTTTGTTTCTACATAGGGAAAATATAGATTTCTAGTTCAATTTCTAGAAATTTTTAGAAGAAGCATGTTATCAGAATCTTTTTGTTCAAGTTTTCTTCTTGCTTTGCCCGACGACATAGTTGCTATTATATCCCGATCTCTTTCGTTAAGGGATTTATGTAATCTCAGCCTATGCTGCCGGAGTCTATGTGCCCTTGTGAACTCTGAAAAGGTTTGGCTCTCTCAATGTGAAACCGTAGGAATTGTTCCAAATAAGGACCTTATTGAATGGCGAAAGGGTGTCTCGTCCTACAGGGCTCTTTGTCGATTTCTTCTTAGTGTTAAACCATTAATAGGGATTTGGGTTCACCAAAATCCCGAACTTGGGAATGTAGTATATGTAATGCCTGGTTTTGTTTCGGTTGTTGGGTGCCGGATAATCCCACAAGAGCTTGGTCCATTGGGAATTGATGATGGCCCCATCCTGTGGGCACCTGTGTTTGAAATTATTGGTGATTTTGATGGTGCAACCACATTTTTTCTTCATGGAAGAGATAAAGGATATGACTACTTTTATCCTGGTTCTGTGAAGGCTATTGAGAAGAATTGCAATGTCTTACTGCTTGAAGTTGAACCAAAGCAACAGAGGAATGGGGGGAAGTTGATGCATGGTAAAAGCTATGTTAATCTGTTGGATAGTGAGACATCAAAAAAGATTTGTAGGTCAGATAGCGGATTGTCAAGGTCACAAAGGGTATTAGGACAAAATGAGGCTACAGTACCTTTCAGCAGGTTAGGTTTTAGTGACAGAAGAAAGTTACTTGAGCTTGTCACTAAGCAAGTTCGGTTAAAGGTTCCTGACACAGCAATGGGGCCACTCTTTCCTCATTTGAGGGATAATGCAGACAACTTTTGGAAAGATATGGTGCTCTTGTTGCAAAGAAGATTGGCGCTACTACAAATGTACAAGCATGGTAATGATTGCATTAATGGGAATCCAGGTCAGGACGAACCTGGGCTGCCTTCTGATCCTACACAATTGGAACTCAGTATGATAAGAAAGAGTTTTGATTATTTGAGTAATTCTGGTAATTCCCCCAATGGAGATGATTGTCAGACACAGAGCACCAAGATGAAAACTCTTGGTGATTACTTAAGAAGTAGCATCAAACAATTCCTAGGAAAGTCTGTATCTAGCCGGGGAATTTTAAAGAATAGTTCTTCTAGCAGTGAGAGTAGGCAGGCACTACTCCATGAATTTTTGATGTCAGGTGATACGGCAGGGCTTACATTGCACGCCTCTACTACAAAGTTATCTTCATATCGAGCATGGCCTAACATGCATGACACTCGTTTTGCCCTTTACAAGTTGCCAATGCATGTCCCAAAAGAAGACCAGGTGTATGCTGGGTTATGGGGAGGGACTTTTGGTTGGCCACCTGGGAGGCCTACAGAAGACAAGCCCGGGAAGGCTCTATTCTTTCTTTTGCTCTCTTATGATGAATCCCAGGGGCAAAGGTTTCTGATTGCAACCAAAATATTGGAAGGTACTCATTATGTTCTGCACCCAAATGGGTCAGCAATGTTCATAGTGAATATTGATGAACCTTCCCAAGAGCCATTTCCCTGGGACACTGATGCAGACTCAATTCCTGTGATTGTTGAACATGCTTTCAATGGGGAGGGCATTGCAAATGGCTATGGTTTCAGATATCCTGGCTCAAAACCTGGTTCTCTCTTTGTTATTCAAAATGGTCTACTTGTCTTCATTTGGAAGGAATCAAGGTCAGTCTTGACCCTGCAGAGACTTAATTTGGAAGAGCTTTTGAAGAAAGGCGAACAAGTGCCTCCTTTACCTCCAGTTGCCAACTTTTCATATTTAACAAAGTCATACTCAAATGTGTTTGCTGGTTTCTCCAATGCGTCAACTTGTTTGTCTTCAGCAAGGTTTGTATTACCACCTAAATGGATGCTCATATTGTTATCTTTCCTCTTCTCACTCCAATTTGGTTCATATATTGATTGCTTAATATGTCATAGTTTCTCTAGAATTGGTTCATTAACATGAACTATCTTTTTGGTAGTTATTGGTTTAGCTTACTCTGTTAAGGCAATGTGGATATCATGTGGGATAGGCTTAGGTGTTTTACGGCTATTTTAAGAGATATGAGAACACAGAGGCATCTGGCAGGGGCTGATCACAAGTATTTTGTACATGAAATCTCATTTGTTATCTCCAGTTGCTTCTAAAAAATTACAAACTTCCTAAAGATATAACCACAGAAATAAAAATTTACTGTGTAGAAAATATATAAAATCCATAATGTATGCCTCTGCCTTCCCTGTTATCTAAAAAAAAAAGTCACTTTAATCTTATTTACTGTAGGCTAGTTTGTTTCATCATAACTCATGAAATTAGATGGGACTAAGATATGTCGAGTAGATTATAGATCCAAATAGGCCTGGTGGCTATGCTTATGATGTCTAATACTAACAAAGTTTGAACTCAGGAAATTGTGAGATTAGTAATAATTGATCCATAAATAGTGTTCTTCTTGTTTATGTTCTTGGTATAACATCCTCGCCACCTTGCATTTGCTTTTGCATAGTAGCTGTTGTTTGTCTTTTTGTTATAGTTTTGAGAGGTATAAATCTATTTAATGTTTGACCGGAATTTATGGATAATTTCTTGTTTGATATAGTTCCTCTCTTTTTTTCCATACTTCATGGGAGCATATTACATTGCAAATCAGATGAATTAATTTATAACCATAAATCCAGTTTGTCCACCAAACGTGGGCCTTTGTTTGCCTCATTTGTGCAAATATTTAAATGTTATATGAGATGGAGACGTGTCCCTGTTTCATGTCTATTAGGTGCCTCACTGGTGGCATTTCCAATAATATGGAAAGAAATGGATATCCACATGTTACAAGTAGGATTTTCGACCTTTATTCTTCCAAGTTTCTTCTGTTGGATAGCTACTTTCTATTTATTGAATTCTGCCTTGATGGATTTACATTGTTAAATTTCCATTTCTTTAACCGTCTAAGACTTATTCCATTTTTTTTTTCATCTACAGGCAAAAGCTTGCTTAGGCTGATTTCTTGATGGTTAAAATGACAGCTCTAAAAGTTCCTGTTGCAAAGCTATTACTCCAAACTCTTGTATTACTTTTGGAACTTGTTACCTGCTTCAGATGGTTTGAGAGTAATGGATCAATTAACCATGTTCTTAGTGATGGATTGTGTCCCACTTAAAGCACATGAAGGTTGAGGTAACTTCTTTTGTACTTGTAACTATGTGTTGATGGAACCTAGAACCTAGATATTCATATGATAACAAGCCTCATCAAAGAAGCATCCCCATCAAAGGTACCTTTAATAGCTCAGTGAGGTTTTTTTACATGAGAAAAAGCACACATACGGTCGTACAAAATTTGTAATAAACAATTACTGTGCATTTGAGTTAAGGAATTTGGTATTTCAGATTATTTTTCTGGCGTATCACATAGTATTTTATTATTATTATTTTCATTTGGAGTCCTTTGGATATTGGATAAACATGTATTAGTTAATATATTGATTTGAAGGGTGCAATCTTTATTTTTGTTTGTTGTTAGATTCTATGGTACCTGTGTATCAAAACTAAAGATATAAAACAAAAGCATGGTGTAGCTAGGGATTAGGTGTTATCATATTCCCTTCTGTGTTTCGCTGAGATTAAACTTAGGATGCCCTGTTAAAATTGGATCAGTTGATGGCCGCATATGGAGTACAGTGTTCCCTACGGCACGGAAACTCGATCGGAGATGAGAAAGACAGGTAATGGTGAGTGGTGCCTGTGGTTATGGCAAGACAGAATGGGTTCAGAGTTGTTCTATTAAATTGAGATTACAGAGTTTGTATTGGAGTATAATAACTGATATCAAACTTGTCCAGCATATAATGAGTTTTTGAACTCAAGTTCCCATTTAAATTGGGTGAGTCTTGTTTTCTTACCCAATTATTTTCACTTTATCATACAACTAAAATATATGTGAAAAATATTGTTTACAAAACTATAAAATATGATTTTTAGCCGTTACTTTCTGATTTAGTAATTTTGATTTGAAGATATTGTTTTTATTTCTTTTTATCCTCTAGTATTATTAGTGTACGCATACAATGTATATACGCATAATGCATGTATTCAGTGTCAATGCGTAAAGTACATACACATAATGCATATAAAATATAATTTAAAAAATAAAAATAAAAAAAGTATAAATCATACTAAGAGACACTGAGAGATTAAAGATGTTAATCCACAGAAA